GCATAAGCACTATTGGAGGTAATAATAATAATAATAATAATAATAATTTTATATACACACATAATCATAAGACACTTAAAACTTCTTGTAGAATTGCAGTTTGTTGCATTGTTCTGAAACCAATTTAACAACTGCATTTGTTAAGCACTAATTACAAATGCAAACTGATTGCAAGGTGGCATTCTTTGTCAGTAAAGAACCTGACTGAAGAGCAGGGTGCTGCTTTGAATTGCTCTATAAAAAGCTTTTAGAGGCAGAGGATAAAGCCCAGCAATCAGGGACCCAAAGATGCATGAGTTCCATCTAGTGGTGCGCAGGTGCACTGCACATACACGGCAGTGCCTTGTGAGTCATAGTGAGATGGGCCAAATACCAGGCAAGATGGGTAAATATCACATTGAAAGTGAAATCAATATTTCTCACGTAGTAGCAATGTGGGCAAGATGATGGAAATGGAAAGTTGGGCACAGACTCATGAAAATTAACCAGGAAAGAGGAAATAATTTTCTCTGCATTTTTTTTTCCAAATTTGAAAAAAAAAAATAAAAGTAGATAAAAAATTCCTGAAGAAATTAATAGTGAAAGCTCTATTAACAAAGAAACGCTGTCCAATGACACACTTTCTTGTCAGAAACTTAAGGCAGGAGTGAAATGGAAGGCTTAGGAATGACTTTCAGGGCAAGGACTATAAACCCTGTTATAGACAGATTTTGGAGTCCCGTACTACATGGGGATGTTCCTGTTGCATAGCAGCCTTCTACAGCTTCAAACTGGTGGTATTATTCCTACTCCCGAGTAATTGAGCTGTTTGGACCCTGAAATAGCTGTTCTTTAAACAGCCCAGAACTAGTTCACCTACAGAGGCCTGTGGCCTTCATTCCTAGCCATCACAACCAAAACCAAAGAGACTAGAACTTCCCCTGAGACTTTCTGGGTCCAGAATAAACTGTATACATGAAATGTACTTTGCTTCTAAAAGATTAGTTAATTATGTATTCAAAGTATAGTTAAATCAGGAACTTTAGAAAAGGTAACACCATGGCATACACCTTTATAATGAAGAAAACAGAGTTGAGGGTGGGTTATATGAGGCTTCTGGACTCTCTCATGAAAAAAAATGAGTTTTAGGCCATGCTGACTGCAAATAAAATAAACACAGCCAAAAAAATAGCTGACCCAGAATCATATGTAGTGAGTTCTTCAGGGGAAAAATTGGGGGCCACATTAAACCAACAGAAGAAGAAGCTGAGCTGAGGGAGAACTCAAACAGGATCAGAAGTTGCATCTAGGGGCAGCAAGCCTTAGACTCTGGAGGACCTGAGCTCAAATCTGGCCTCAGACACTTGACACTGGGCAAGTCACTTAACCTCAACTGCCTAAAAAAAGTTGCATTTAGAAATCCTGAAACTCAAAGCCAGAAGGTAAGTTCTATTCTGAAGAGTAATCTTCAACACAAAGACAGCATGAAAAGGGCATGATACAGCAGATGTAGCATCTGGTGTAAGAACGAGCTACAAAAACTGTCAGAGCGACACAGGACAAGGTTCTTGATTCGAGGAATCAGGGAAGACAATGGAAATTTGGTAGTGACCTTCAGAAAACAGAGATGAGAAACAGTTATGAATAGCACCTGTGACACCTGGAGACTTTTCATACCTAATAGCCAATACCCACCACCAGTATTTTATGTGAGAACACAGGATACTACCAGAAGAAATTCAGAAAGCCTTGCTATAGGGTATAAAGTATTATGCAAGAAAGTCACGACCTAGTGATGGAGTCTGAATACAGGTTGAAACATACTTTTTTACTTTCTTTGTTTTTCTTGGGTTATTTTGGTCTATGTTTTCTTTTACAACATGACTAATATGGAAATATGTTTTGCATGACTACACATGTATAACTTTTATCAAATTGCTTGCCTTCTCAATGAGGGGGGTGGGGAGTGAGAGAGAGAATTTGGAACTCGATTTTAAAAAAGGAATGTTGAAAATTGTTTTTATATGTAACTGGGGAAAAATGAAATATTAAATTAAAAAAAAAAACAAGAAAAGTGATGACCTCAGGGGCACAAGCCATATTTTTATCACTTCTCAACTGAAAGCAGGGATTGTGGAAGCAAAAGGAAGATGTATGGTGGGTGAAAGGTGGGATCTAAAAACACGATTTGATGGGCAGCTAGGTGGCGCAGTGGATAGAGCACCAGCCCTGGAGTCAGGAGGACCTGAGTTCAAATCCAACATAACACTCACTAGCTGTGTGACTCTGGGCAAGTCACTTAACCCCAACTGCCTTACAAAAAAAAAAAAAAAAAGATTTGGATTGCTGAAACATGACTTAAAATAGAGGAATGATGTGCTTTTTTTGGTCCTAGAAAATGACTAGGGAAGAGTATACCTTTCTCAAAACGAACAGAATAGCTTGGCAGGGCAGAGAAACAGTATTGTATATTAAGATACTACATTCATATGAGGAAATCCAGGAACTGGAGAAGTGAACCATTCTTCAGACCATTTGCTTGAGAATTAATGGAGGATGAAACAAATAATGTTGTCAGAGTACTACACTATATACTACCTGAACAGAAAGAGGAAATAGAGGAGTTCAGTAAACAGATCTCCAGCCTATCATAGAAGAATAATATAGTAGTTATGGAGGATTTCAACTATTCAGACATTTGCCAGAGCTCATTCTCTGCAAAGAATAGAAAGGCTGATAATTTCTGACGTGCTTTAATCATCATTTCCTTCTTCAAAAAGGGGAGGAAGTAACAAGGGGAATCTCAATTGACCCAATTTTAACCAATATGGAGAAACATAGGATCACAGTTTGAAGATGGAAGGAAACTTAGAGGTCATCTAGTCCAACTTGTGTATTTTACAGATGAGAGAATACTGAAAGTCAGGGAGACACGGTGACTTGTTCACAGCCACACAAATAGTAAGTCACAGGGTCAGCATCCTTCCCATTGCACTGTACTCTCCTCAAATGGTTGCTGAAGTAAAGAGATTATCGATAATGACTGCTCCATCTTATAGAGGACAGGAAAGGCAAGCATAGTCTGACATGTGGCCAAGATTTTTGGAGAACAGATTTCAGAGAATTCAAAGAAAGGATCAATTTGATCCCAGGAGCTAGAATTCTACAGAAAAAGTTAGCCCGAGAGAGCTGTCTGGAGCATCCCTATCACCATCGTAGCTTTTGGTGGCAGGATTTTTTTTTTTTTGCTTGTTTATTCTTCCAGCCTACGCCCTGACTTTAGGCTTTATGTTAGGGCTGGGTTCTGTACACTTCCGGAGAAAAAGTCCTGCTGCTACTTTCTTGGGTATTGAGTGTTGTGTTATTCCAGGACTTTGAACAACAGCATCCTAATGGATCTCCCTGTTTCAAGGCTCTCCCAACTTCAACTCATTTTCCTTACAGCTGCCAAAGTGATCTGCATCGGATTTGACCATGTCACTCTCCTCCTAAATAGACTCCAGCAGCTCCTTATTGCCCTTAGGACAAAAATAAAAATTCCTCTCTTTGGCTTTTAAAGTCCTTCACAATCTGGCCCCAACCTCTCTTTCCGACTCACTCTGTATCAATTCCCTCCTTGTACTCTATGGTCCAAACTTAAGTAGCCTTGCTATTCATTACACATGATAATGCAATCTCCTGTTTCCATGCCTAGGCATGGAAGGCCATCCAGGCCTGGAAGGTACTTCTTCCTCTCTTCTACCTTGCAAAATTCCATTTTCCAAGTGAAGCCTTTCATGATCTCCCCAGCTGCTAATATCTTTCGTTCCCAAGCTATTTTGTATTGGTTTTGTATTTACTCTACACTTATACATGCATGTGTTATCTTCCCCAGTAGAATGTAAACTCCTGGAGGCCAGGGGACAGTTTCATAGTGGTGGTCACTGAAGGCTAGAGAAAATGGGTAAAGCCACAAAAACCAAAAGAAGATGGGACACCTTGGAGATATTTTTGAATACATCTCCTTTAACCACTCCCCAACTTGCAAATATAATTAGTCACCAAGTCCTGTTTATGCTTCTTCTGTAATGCTTCTCAACTGTACCCATTTCTTATGAATAACATAGAGATGAATTCTTTTAAGATATTGCTTTTATCATGTTACTCCTTCATTGGCTACCCATTTCCCACAGGCCTAATAAGTCCAAATGTCTTAGCCAAATAATTATGCTAATTTAAAGTATAAAAGCAGCACACAAGAACTAAATAACAGTTCATATAACAATTTTTTAGTTTATCAAGCTTCTTCCTCACAAGAACTGTGAGGTAGATTGTACAAGAATTATTATCCCCATTTTATGGATGGAAAAAAAAACTAAGTAAAGCTCAAAGAGATTAAAGGACTTGTCCCTGGAAGAATGGAGCAAGATTTTATTAATCATTCTATCTCATCTGATGATTGTTACCACTGCCCTAAGAGGTTTTGCCATTATCCCTGTTTTACAATCGAGGACACTGAAGCAGAGATTAAATGATTTGCCCAGGAATAACAAGCTGTAAATATCTGAGGCTGGATTTGACTCCAAGCAGCAAGCTCTGCCCTTGGAGCGCTACCAGCTACCTTACCTCAGTTCTCACAGATATCGTGTCAGAGCCATGATTTAAACTTCTGTCTTCTGCTCCTAAGAACACCTCATTCTTTACTTCTTTTACCTACCCTACCCCCACTTTCAAGGTATTATAGTATTAAATATTATTTTATGACTATTATAAAAGAGGTTCAGAGGAAGAAATATCCCCCAGATCAGACAAATATAAATCAGAAACTATAATTATTCTTTTTTTCTTTTTTTTTTTTAGTGAGGCAATTGGGGTTAAGTGACTTGCCCAAGGTCACACAGCTAGTACGTGTCAAGTGTTGGGTCTGAGGCCGGATTTGAACTCAGGTTCTCCTGACTTCAGGGCCGGTGCTCTATCCACTGCGCCACCTAGCTGCCCCAGAAGCTATAATTATTCTGAAGAGTATGAATGAATATCATTACCAATTTACTTTCATTTCTCTTGTTTTTATTCTTCCTTCCATTGGAAACCTGCACATAAACACATATGGCAGTGCATTACTAATGTTCGCTTTAATTAAATAAGGATATTTTGTTAAACATATTTAATCTCTGTACCTGATAGTTATCTTGTTTTGGTCTTTATTTAGAGTGTTCAGTGTTTTCTTTTCATTTATTCTTAACTGTATATCTAGAAATTCTTTACAGCTGGCTATCATTGTGACCTAGAAAATTCCAAAATTAAAAAACAATCAATCCTACTGTCTAATTCTCCTCTTATTTTGCTTCATGCACCTTTGGGCCATCCATATTTTATCAAAGTTTCTCTAACACAGTTACAGACTCACTGCTTCCTTTTGTTTCTCTCAGAATCTTTCCATCCACTACCCCCTTCTGTAATTAGCCAGATAACACTGTATAACGGACTGCAGTAGTGCTTTCACTCATTCCCTCCCTGTACCTAGACAGCCTCTCTACACAATCTCCTCCCCAGGCACTCAGGATTCCTCCAGGCATGCTGATAACAACTGAGGGTCAACTTGACAGAGTTCTTGACGGCCTCTCATTTGAGTGCCTGAGGCTTTCCTGACCAGCCTACACCCTTTATGTTTGGGTGCCAGTTTGGCTCACTCTGAACCAAAAGTTTCAATACTTTCCCAATCCAAACCCCAAGGCCAGAGAGAGGTACAGATTCCCCTCCTCCTTTTACAATACCTTGCATATCCTGTGACTTTCCCAAAGCCCTACAGAGAGATCTGAGGTAGAACTGGGTATTGTCACTCCAAGTCCAGCATCCTTTCCATGCTAACATGTCTCCTCCTGCAGCTAAATTTTCTCATTTAATTATGATCACTGATGCTTTTGGACTGATTAGAGATGCAGCTAAAATTTCTATACAAATCACTTTCCTACTTGGCCACTAAAGCTATGACAAACTATAAATATAGCTGCTGAAACATGCTGATAATTTTGTTAGTGAAAACACAGCATAAATTATTTAAAGGGGAAAACAAGCTTTTGCTCCAACTTATTTTGCACAAAACCGTACACTTTAGCTGCAGCTGGAAGACACTCTTGGACTTTATTAGAAAATATTTTTTCCTAGAAAGTGATCTATGGAGAAATAATCTTTCATTGTGTGTGACTGATTTTTTGCTTATGGTTTTCTTCTTTCTTTACTATGAAATGCATTTGCATTAAAATGGCAACTTTCCACCTCCTCTCCATTAAATTATACTTCCTGCTATCTAATGACATGCTAATCCTGTTTGCAACATAATTCTTTCCACAGTGAAGAAAGGCTTGTGAGTTAGATAGGCATCTCTTTTACAAAAATATCCACATCCTTAAGAAGTTAGGACAGAACCAGTAAAGAAGCCTAACATGCAAACATACCTCCTCATCTCCATGTTGTTCCTACCATTGTTTCCAACCCCATTCCTGCTGTTTTCAGCACACTGCCTCCCATCAACAACAGCTCCTTCATCAACTCTACTATTACCAGTTTGCCCTTTTCAGCCCTCTTCTACTTCATGCTATCATTAACAGGCATGGGCAGGACACTGGCAGGGAGTAAATAACATGCTCATTCATTCCACCATAAGAACAGCTTACTTAATTAAGTAAAGACTCTTTCAGAAGAGGAAAACACACTGTTTTGAGGGAAAATATTGCATGTATTAAATATTTTGCTTCTTTACTAAGAACCGAACTAAGCAAACAAAAGCTAATATTGTATATAACTATATTTTAAACGGTTTTGTATCACATTTACAGGCTTGTTTTATTGTTAAAATAAAATTACCAGTTCTGATAAAGTTTCTGTTCCCTTAATTGTACAAAATTTCTTCACTGTCTCAAATGTAATATAATACCATGCCATTAATCTTCCTGCCTCTGCAAGAAAAGATGGAAAAACTAAGCATTTTGTTAAGCAGACAGAACAATGTGCCTTTTAAACAATCCAATAAACATTTATTTATCACCTACCATGTGCCGACCAGAGTAAGGCTAGGAGGACACAAAGGAAGTAAAAAACTACACTTTCTCCTGAGGTTCTCATCCTTTTAACACCATCACCCATCTGCCTTCTTAGGAGTTAGAATTAAAGTCAGAGTAGTAATCCTACTTCCTTTACTATCAGAGAAGCAGAATCCTGAATGCTGCTCCGAAGCATTTAGATGTGATCTTAAAAACAACACTCAGAGTTCCTCAGTGATATGAAATAGAAAAAGTAATGACTATGTATATGTACATACATGTGCGTAACATACATCTGTGTATGTACATGCATATGTATGCACACAGACATGTATGTGTGTGTGTGTGCGTACAGAAGCCCCTTCAGTACTGGAGTAAGGAGTCGTTGGAAAAAGAGAGTCCTGCTAGGAGAGGTCACAGTCGTCTGGGCCTGAAATAGACACATATATAGACCATCAACAAACCCTCTGCAGCTTGGTGAAGAGGCACAGAAAACACCGAGGAAGGGGCTAACAAACAAGCTGTCCCCAGGATGAGGTATGTTTATAAGTTCTACAGTGTCTGGGAGAGGAGGAAGGAATTTAGCCCCTGACCAGGAAGGGGCCTGGATAGCAATTTTATTGGTGTTGGGAGCGCCCAGGGAGGTCAGTCAGTATGTGTTAGAAGTCTTTCTGGCTCTCTATCCACTAAACCACAATATCTGATAGTGTGGGTTGATATCAACCCCTTGTTAGGCTCATTAATGACTAATGAATGACTCGTTAATGACTAATACTCCTGTAGAGGTGAAGGGAGGTAGCAATAAGATGCAGTTAAGATGGGAAGGGAGGAACGGAGAAGAGAAAAGCACAAAAAGAAGGCTTCAGCATATTTCACAGAAGCCCCAGTTTTAGAGCTCCAGAAAATCAGTGTGTCCTTTAGAGCCCCAAAGGATTGTTAATTTCCTTTGAGACCCAGGAAGTATGAGTGCTGGAGTGACTTTCTGGAGGTGGTCATCAATTTAGGTTCACTACCAGTGCGACCTAGTCTCCCTTCTAGAGACACAAGGCGGAGAGAAAATCCTTTCTGTGGGTTGGCTTCACAGAGAGTAAGAAAGGTTACTTAACAGCATGAAAGAGATAACAAAGGAAAAAAAAATCAGAAAAAAAATTTTGTGAGGGGAAGGGAACAAGCATTTATCAATAAGCTGGAGAAGGAAATGGTGAACCACTCCAGTATCTTTGCCAAGAAAACTTCAAATGAGGTCATAGAGTCAGATGAGACTGAAACAACTGAACAAGAACACTATGTGCCAGGCACTGTGCTAAGTGCTTTACAAATATTATCTCATTTGATCCTGATACAGCCCTAGGAGGTAGGTGCTATTATTATTCCCATTTTACAGCTGGGGATATTGAGGCAGACATCAGTTAAGTGACTAGCCCAGGGTCCCACAGCTAGTAAGTGTCTGAGGCTAGATGTGAACTTGGGTCTTCCTGACTGGAGGCCCAGAACTCTATCCACTTCACCACCTTGCTGCCTAAGGGTAGAAGGGAATCAAACCCCAAAATGAAGCTGGCAAATGGAAGAGTGGGACAGTGCTGAAAGAAAAGAAGAAGAAATTATAGCTATACCACACCTTTGAAGCTCTTCCTATGGGAAGTGATTTTAGAATACTTCATAGTCCATGAATGACTGAAGGAAATATAGACTCATTTGCAAGTGGAAGTAATCCTGTTACCTCTCCCCCTCCCCTGCACCCCAGGAGGAAGATGTGGTGGGGTGGGTGGCTCCTTACTGAAGAACTGTGCATAAACCACACCTCAGTTAAATGGGACTTTCAGCAAATCCACTAACTGAATCCACTTCCATTGATTCACAAAGGAAAAGAGTCAAAACACACCCGAAATGCATTCCAGATGACATTCTGAGTCAAAAGCTGAAGGACCTGAAGGTCATGACTTTGGAAATGGGCAAGTCGTAGAGAATTAGGCATTTACCAACTGACTGCTTGAAAATTTCAAGAAGATTTTGTTTTTATAACTCAACATGGAGATGAGCACTGGTAAAGGAAGGTGTTCACTTCACAAAGACAAAAAAAAAATATGCTTTGCAAGAAGAGATTAACCTATTTCTTATCAATAGGGCTTTAAATTGAAATTTGAGGGGAAGGAGAAAAATGTATGAATATTATAAAATAGGACAGTATGGAGAATAACAAATGAAAGAGAGAAGGAAGCAGCCCATCAGAAAAGAAACTCAGCATTTCTCAGGTAGAAATAACAGGTAAGCAGATCAGGAACATTATTTATGGCACCAGATGATTATAAGCTATAAGGAACTGGGTGAACTTGAAACTTTAACTCAAGGTAAATACAATTACATATCAAGGCTGGGACCAACCATAATTCCAAAAGGCCAAAGATGAAGCAGGCTACTCACCTCCTAAAAGAGAGGTGATAGATTCAAGGTGCAGATGGGGAGATTGGCAGCTTGCACTTCTGGATGTGACTAATGTAAGAATTCATTTTGTTTGACTATGCATATTTGTTACAAAGGTTTTGTTTTCTTTTATTCCCCCAATGGGAGAGTTAGGAAGGAGAAGAAATTAAATGCTTACTAACTGAAAAAATAATTTAAGTTAAAAGAAATAAATTTCATAATGTCACCAAGACTTGGTGGAATGGGACTCATGATTAGAACATGATGATAGAATGGTAAACAAAAGACATTTAATAATATTAATAGTAGATATTTATATATGGATTTATGGTTTACCAAGTGCTTTCTACTCATTTAATTCTCACAACAAGAAAAAGCGAGCAGGGGCAGCCTCCTAGGCTAAAAAGGTATGCCAGACTCATGGAAAGATGGAATGAGATATTTCTTAGGAGTGAGCTCTCCCCTCACCACACCAAATGATATAAGAGTTCCAAAAAGTAGAAAATTCAGCAATGATGAGATGATAATAACGTATTCATAAATGTACTTCAATGTATTTCATTAAAAAAAAGATAACAAAACCAACTTATTTTGCTTCTATTTTCTCTTCCAAGGGCAAAAAATGACTAAAAGGGAGTTGATTCCCAATATAAGTAAGATGATAGTAAGAGAGCGCCTAGCTTCCCTCGATGAATTTAAATTATTTCTCTGAAAAGTGTATTTTTTAAAAAATATAGCTACTCAAAGTAAAATCTGGTTTCTAGGTTAAATGAGGTATCTTAACTTGCTCATGAAAACATGACTTTTATATGCCTTTATATTATATGAAGTTACTTGGAACTCAGAAAAATTAAATAAAAGTAGCCAAATCATGAATGTGATTCTGTGTTTAAGTACTGAAGAGGTAATTATTTGTTGCTATCTTTTATAGTTCTCTGGATATGTATTTTGTTCTAACTCTAGTGGTAGAGCACAGAGCTCTGACCATGCCTGACTGACTATAGCAAATCAAGTCCCATTTATTAGCAGATGGGACACTGGGCAAATTATTTCATCTCCTGCACCTTAATTTTCTAACTGTATCTGCCTCACAACAGAGTTGTGAATAAAATGCTTTTCAAACCATAAAATACTATATAAATAAATGATTTACTATTATCTTCTTTGGATCCCTGTATACAAAGGTTATACCTAAGTGGCTTCTATGTATCAGTAAATTCATTTTGCCTGTGCTAAAGAATAATAATAATAACTTCCAGTGAAATAATGGTGGTTTGTTTTGTTTTTTGGTTTTGTTTTTTTTTTTTGGTAAGGTTAGCAAAAAACTTCAAATACATGGTACTACATGCTTGGGTACTGAAAGAACTGGTGTATATGACTGCTGAGTGATTGTCAGTGATATCTGAAAGATTTAAGAAAATAGGAGCTGTACTATAGCACCAGAGAAAGGCACATGTCCCAATTTTCAGAAAAGGGAAGAGAGCATAGTGTCTAGACACAAAGACGTGATCATCTCTCTGTGCTCTACCTTGATCGGACTTCATCTGCAGTACTATGCTCACTTCCAGGTGTCATGGTTTTAAAAAGGACATTGGTAACATGCAAAGTGTCTACAGCAGACAACCAGAATGCTAAAGAGCCTTGAGTCCATGCTGTCTGAGTATCAGCTGAAGGAACTAAGCATGTTTAGCTTAGAGAAGACTCAGGGAGAGAAGGATAGCTGTATTGAAGTATCTGAAGGGCAATCATTCAGAGGAATGATTAGACTTGTTCTTTGTGTGTCAAAAAGGCAGAACCAGAAGCAGAATGGAAAATGGAGAGTAGTTAATTTAGGTTTGATATCAGGAAAAATCCCCCAACTTGCCAAGAAGGGAAACAGGCTATGTAGAAGGAGGACCCCTGCTCAGTTCACTGAACTGAGGCTGGATCACTTGTCAATTATGTCATAATAGAAATTTGTTTCATGTATAGATCCCTTCCAACTCTCAAATTTTGTGAACCAATCACAATTATTCTCTATGATGACCAGAAATCAAATGGAAAAGATAGACTACCCAGAGGTGGGGAACCTGCGGCTTCAAGGCCACAGGTTCCCTACTCCTGGCTACCAAACAGTAGAACACACCAACTGCACACAAAAATAGCATACCTTGCGAAGCTGAGCCTAAATGTCAAAGAGAATAAGTGGATGTCTAATAAAAGGGAAAATTCTGAATCAATCCTTCAAAAAAGAACCCAGGGTGAGCACAGTATTCAACATGGCAATATACCAAGACCAAACAGAAGAAAGTTAAATATTTTCAAGATAAAGAAGGGCTTTTTTTCATGTGGCTAGGGCTAGAAAAAGATATAAATGTAGGCTGTGGGAATATTTCTGTCTGTTGCTTAATTTTCTTTAAAAAATAAATCTGACATTGAGTGACAGGGAGAAGACAAAAGAAATATCAAAAGACTAAAGAATCTATAAGTAAAAGGCATAATGGGGAAAATCAGGAGAAGAGATAGAAGTAAAGCAGCATTTTGAAAGGAAAAATTTCATCCCCTCCTTACTAAATCAATATTATAGGTAGAAAGAGAATATAGAGCGATGTCTCTTGTTATGATAGGAAGCCATCCCAAGGGATGGTTGCCCTGGACCCAGGAGGAGAGAGAGGTTAAGAGAGATTTTCAATTTCCCTCATGCAGTCATGGTGGGGGGAGAGTGAGGATGGAACATTTCTGGGCGGTGGGGAGGGTCACAGAAGGAGGAGTGGGAGATGGGTAAAACCAGAAGGGAACAACTGAACAGCAACGTGAAACATGCCACAAAGGAGGCCAGAGTGAAGCATGGGAGTGGCACTGCAAATCTGGTAGAGGAGAGGGATTATGTGGATACTTCTGGAGATCAACTTTGATAAGATAGAGTTGTACTCTGTGGGACTAAATCCCTACCACAGGAAAAGAAGTGGCTGGCTATCTGGAAGCCTTGGACAGAGCTGAAGAGTGGCTCACGAATTCAAAGGGAAGGTGGCAGGTCATCAAAGGGATAAGCAATGACACAGGACTAGCCCTTCTGGACTAGGGTTATGCAGCATTTCCACTGCACCTGGGTGTCTCCATTGAGAGTTAATATTCTTGGGAGGAAATTACAAAGAATTACAAGAAAAGGAGTGAATGAAAAATTACATTTCTTGGAAAGAAATGCTACAAGTTGGTATGGCTGAAACAGAAGGATGGATGGAGAGCAGGTAAGAGTAGGCAGTGCACTCTATCTGCCTGGGAAAAGTGAAGGGTAAATAAAGAATAAAAGAATCAGAGAGAATGACACAATAAGCATAAATTCAAGGAACTTGGAAATGGGTTGGGAAAGACAGGGAGTTGGGAGAAGAACAGGCTCAGATTAGCAGGGACAAAAACAAACAGGAATGAATAAGCGTGAGCAAAAAGACAAACAAGAAAGAATAAATATTCAGAGCTCTGAATATAAAATTGATCAGGGATAAATGTGTTCACCAGCTGCACAAGTATAAAGTGGGAGAGGTGTGGCTAGACAACTGTAAACTCAATCTGATTCAAAATTGTGACATGGCAGCCAAATGCCATTGTCACCTTTGGCTATAATAAGAGACAGCAGAATGTCCCAAATGGGCAAAGTAATAGTTTCACTGTATCCTGCTTTATCTGACCACACCTGGAGTACACACTCAGTATTGACGTTGCCTAATATTTATAATATTTACATTTTAAGGACATCAAAAAGCCAAAGTTTATTCAGAGGATAGTGCTCTAGATGGTAAGAGAACTAGAGACCATGCCATATGAGAATCAACTGCAGGGAAAGTGACAGTGAGTCTGAAGAAGACACTCAGAATATGTCTGCTTTCAAATACACGGTTATATGAAAGAAGAGCTAGACTTGTTCTGTATTCTGGGGCAAAGAAGCCGGGGTTCATGGGTGGAAGTTGAAAACGTGTAGGTTTGATGTGTAGAAGAACTTCGTGAGATTACAGCTGTCCGAGAGCGGAACAACTTGCCATGGGAGGTAGCAGATTCAAGTAAAGGTCAAATAACTACCTATAAGAAATGTTGTAGAGGGATTGCTGTACAGATACAGACATTCTGTGATAGGGGATCGGTAGCACTGGCACAATCAAAGGCTTTGGTAATCCCAATTTGCACAAAAATATCTGGCAGAGGGAAGGGCATAAGCAGTAAGGAACCTTGGAACGATCAATGTGCCACTCAACTGATGGTTTTAATCAGCTTTGTAAATAGACTTCAGCAACTCTCTACCCAAGTCTTCCCTGTGCATAGGATCTATACAACACTGCTTCTGAGGGTAACAGCACATGGAGAATTGAGATCATAATATCAGCTAAAATCAGCTTAATAAATTTCTAGTTTTGCCTTAACAATGATTTAAAATTTACATTAATGGATGGAATGCCCCAAATAAAATTCTAAGTAATGTACCAAATGTCCATTTATCTATTTTCATAAATATGTAAAGGCATGAAATTGATCATATATAATGATAAAGTAAATAAACATCACCAGTTGATTTGAAATTAACATCTTCATCCATCTTTATCAAGTTGACAGAAGATAAATCATTCAAATTCTTCAAACACAATTCTGTTGAGGTAATAAAATATATTTTATTTTTAAAGAAGGAATCAAAACAAATTTTTAGCAATAATAAAAATACACAGGAAATTTAATATTACATACAATGAAGTTGTGATACTACAATATTTCAAAGCAAAGAAACCATGTCAAATACCAAGAAAAAAGTTATTTATTACTACTACTACAACTACTACTACTACGAGTACTACAACAACTACTACTACTACAACTATGTAACATTTATATAGCTCTTTAAGGCCTACAATGGGTTTTACATGTGTTTTATCATTTGATCCTCACAGCCCAGGAGTTGTGTTATTATTGTCTCAATTTTACCAAAAAAGGAAAATGAAGCAGACGGAGTTTAAGTGATACACCCGGAGTCACACATTTAAATAAATGTCTGAGGCAGGATTTAAATCCAGGTCTTTCTGACTCCAAGTCCAGTGTTCTATCCACTGTACCACGTTGCTGCCTAATTTGTTGTTTTCATCTGAAAAATGAGAGGATTAGACTAGATGATCTCTTAGATACCTTGCAGCTATAAAATCCTTAGATTCTTCAAAATTCAGGAAAAAATATTAAATCATGTACCACATATGTATTCATTAATTTTGACAAATAAACTGATGTAAGACTGACAGAATACAAGATTAAAATATTATATATATATACACACAAACTGCAATTTAGTTGCCATGGTAATGACAACTTTTAATTCCAGGACCAGTGCATTTCACTAGCATGGTTTTATATTTAATATACGCCTATATTATAAAGGAATTTTTTACTGTAATCTTATTAATAGAAGTCTCCTATTTGCTTACATCTGACCGGATTTAAGGGGCTCTCCTTATAATTTGTTCAGTTTTTTTTTAGCCATGTAAGTTTTTGTTTGATTCTGTGCACAGTTTCCAAATATTTTTGAAGAGAATAAATTATTGCAGACGGGAAGAGATGGATTCACGTGGAAAATGTCTCATTCAAACATGATTCAAACCATTGAGATCTGCCTTAGCGAGGGAGACACCCAGTGTCATGTTATAATATTCACATTTATCTCATAACATATAAATAACAATATGGAGAGAAGATAAATCTTCTTCATTGAGCACAAGAAGGAAATATGCAATTGAAACATTAAAAATGAAAACTGTCCATCCATGAAATAGCAAATAACAAAAGGAGACAAGCTGAATCTCATGCATTGCTACTGACTTGAGTCAAAGGAACAATATAGCAAGAATCTATTTTAAATATACTTGTGAAAAGATAAATCTCAGTGCTGAGGAGGCAAAGATGAAAAATGACATGCTCCTTGCCCTTGAAGAATTTACATTCTACTTGACGGGAACAAGACAAGCAGAGTGGAATGGAGGAGGAGCCAGCCAGATCTTCCTACTCACATGCAGCAACAGGGCTAAGGGGCAGGACATCTTCCTGAACTGCCACATCTATAGGCCTATGAGGTAATACTACAGTAGCTATTTTTAATACAGGAAAAGTCTATTAAAACAAGACATGAAACAAGTTAAAATAGGCCCTAGGTAAATGGTGACTGCATTAACAACGACATGAAAGAAAAGCCTGATAGCCACTCACTCGATGAGGCGAGTGTGAAGCCTATCTTTCAACACTAGCATTTTAAATGTTGTACAGTATATTTAATTTCCACACACAGAAAGAAGCTTTATGTACTTGAAAATTTCACTGTTTTATTCCTAACACCACATTTTTATTTGCCATATGTATACTGTATATAAGTGGACAGCCAGACTGAAAATAAATTAAAGTTGCTTACTTATACCGAGTAGCATGAAACAATTTTACATATTGGCTAAAATACAAAAATAGTTCTCTTGATACTGATATCATTGTTCAGTAAGTATTTCTTGGTTGATAACTGGGATATGACACATATTCATGATTTGAGCATGGGGGAAAAGGAATTATATTATATTGAATTTGCAACAAAAATTAAATTATCAAAAAATAAGGGTGTTGGCCACCTTCACCAGCCAGGTTTTCAATGAGACAAGTTTTACGTAAAGAAATTTAAGAATTTAAAAAAAAAAATAAAGCCTATTCAGAAAAGGCACATGAATGAAGTTTTATTTATATACAGAATAGAGTTATTCTTATTTTTAAAGATATATGGTCACTATTAAAGTAATTTAAAGAAAAAAAATGACCTTTTCAGTAATTCATGATATAAATTTTGGACTTTTGTAACGAATAAAGGGCCAGCCTTAGAGTTCAGCTTCTACTACACACTCATTCTGTGACCCTGGGAAAGTCAGTTAAGCCCTTGATGCCTGAGACAGCTCTTTAAAACCATAAAGTTACACGACAGTTACCCAACTTCATTGGTAGTGGAAGTTTCCTCACCTGGATTTCTCTACACTGGTTAAATCCCAGGTCCAGCAAATCAATCAATCAATAAACAAACACGGCAGTCTACATGAGATGAACCAGTCCATAAAAACTCACAGAATCTATTTTTGTTTAAAAAGACAAAATTACACGGAACAATCTCCTAGCCTTCAAACTTTGTTGTTGTCGAGTCATTTCAGTTGTATCCAACTCTTCATGACCCCATTTGGGTTTTTTTTTTTTGGCAAAGATACTGGAGTGGTTTGCCATTTCCTTCTCCAGCTCATTTCACAGATGAGGAAACTGAGGCAAAGAGGGTTAAATGACTTGCCCAGAGTCACACTGCCAGTAAGTGCCTGAAGCCAGAAGAGTCTTCCTGACACCAGACTTGGCACTTATCCACTGCACCATCTTGCTGCCCTCACACTAGTCACAAACTAACCTTGTAATTTTGATTCAATTCCATTTTTGTCCAATCCAGATGGAAAATCTGCAGAGGGATAGAAAGGAAGGATAAAAAGATAAAATATAACATTTTCATTTCTTTTTCATATGAGTTAAGCTTTATAACTCAGTTATCTATGGAAAAAATAGATTTATTATATGATAAAAGATATGTATAATCTTATTGAATTTAACCAAGGCTTAAATTTAAAGAAAAATAACAACTATGACATCTCTTTAATAGGACCTAAATTTCTTTCAGAATTGGATCAGAGGATTTAGAGTTAGAAGCAACCTAAGAAATCATTTATTTCATGATTGTGCCTAAGAAAACTGAAGCCCAGCAGGGTAAGCAACTTAAGGTCAAACAGGCGGTAAGTGCCAGAGTAGGATTAGAACTCAATCCTTCTGATTCTAAATCCAGGGCTCCAGCTACTAAACCCACTCTTTCTTTTTGATGACTTTTTCCTTGAAATAATTTGGAGCTTTTATTAAATTATAAATCATAACTTTTTCTTTCTCAATTTTCAAAGGAAATATGCAATACTTAAGTTTATATTATTAGAAATATTATTAGCTGGTTTTTCAGGTACTATAAAATATAGCTCTACTGGAGACTCTATTAACATCTTTGGATATTCTGATTACATTCTGGTGCAGAAGTAACACCGGGTTGTCTAAAAAAACCCCACGATCTGGTCACCCCACTCCCTCCACTTCCACCCCGACACACTGGAAAAGCCTCAAGTATAGGCCCACTGATTATGTGTCTGTTGTCCTGGGACCCTCCTAGTGTGAAAAGGCTTATCATCAACTTATGAATTTTTCAGCTTGAGTGACCTTCAAAGACTATTTAATAAGTCAGAAGGATTGGTGGAGGAAATGCCCACACCAATAAAATCATGGTTCCCTGAAGCACTAAGAGTAGCTTAAGACGTACCACTAGATCCTTCTTCATTGCCTCCTCAGATATAATCTGGGCTCCTGAAAGCCTGGAGCAAAAGAGAGGGTCTCCCCCAATGCAGAGGCTTTACATATAGGCCCAGCAGTCTATAGCCTGGCTCTTTTTTTGATCATCTTTCAGATAGTCCTATAATTCTTCCATCTATCTATCTATCTATTAATTAATTTATTGGCAATTGGGGTTAAGTGACTTGCCCAGGGTCACACAGCTAGTAAGTGTCAAGTGTTTGGTCTTAGGCCAGATTTGAACTCGGGTCCTTCTGACTTCAGGGTTACATGCTGTATCCACTGTGCCACCGAGCTGCCCCCCAATAATTCTTATATTACCTCTCCTCAATCTATTTCCAGGTCAGTTGTTTTTCTGATGAGATAGTTCACATTTTCTTCTATTTTTTTCATTCTTTTTACTTTGTTTAATTGTTTTTTGATGTCTCATGAAGTCATTAGCTTCCACTTGACCAATTCTAATTTTTAGGGAATTATTTTCTTCAGTGAGCTTTTGTATCTCTTTTTCCATCTGGCCAATTCTGCTTTTTAAGGAGTTCTTTTCTTCAGTGAATTTTTATGCATCTTTTACCATTAGGTCAATTTGGTTTTTTAAGTTATTATTTTCTTCAATTTTTTTTTTGTTCCTCTTTTACCAATTTTCTTCTCATAATTTTTTGGCATCATTCTTATTTCTTTTACCAATTTTTCCTCTATCACTCTTATCTCTTTCTTTTACTCTTCCAGGAATTCTTATTGGGTTTGAGTCCAATTAGCATTTTCCTTTTAGGCTTTGCTTATAGCCGTTTTCACACTGTTGTCTTCTTCTAAGTTTATATCTTGATCTTCCCTGGTACTATAGTAGCTTTTTTATGGTCAAGTTGTTTTTGTTGTTGTTGTTGTTGTTTGCTCATTTTTCTAGCTTATTTCTGGCTATGTCTATGGATATCTTGGATTCTCATGAAGTATTCACTATATTATCTCTATCCCCACACCGCCACCCCCACCCCAGATTATGAGAGCCCTTAAGGCAAAGCCAATTACTTATCTTTTGGTGGGCAGTGTGATGAAACAGAGAGATTACCTACTCTATCACAATCTTTGTGACCTTGGGCATGTCACTTCACCTCTCTGGGACTCAGTTTCCTCATCTGTAAAATGACAGACCTGAACTAGTGGAACTCTAATGTCCCTATAGCTCCAGATGCATGATCTCTGATCTTATGATTTGTGTCACCTATAACACCAAGCACAATACCCTGAAAACAGGAGGTTCTCAATAAATGTTTGAAGAATGAATGAATATATATATATGGCAAACTGCTGTTCTCTTTATTTGGAAAACTGGCCTTGTTACTTTCAAACAGCAAATTTCATATTTTCTAAGAATGCAGTAGCCCATAGTAGTCCACAATATCTATTATACTACCACAGGCCAGGTTTCTAATTGATATTCAGCAAACAAATATTTTCATTTTATCCCTCTTACCACATAAAAGAGTATTCTGAGTCATTAAGTATAAAATAAAACTAAATGTTAACCAAAAATACACTGTGATGAAAATGATAAGCATATGTTTTGATGTCATATATTAACTGAAAAACTAACAACTATAAAGTTGGAACTCCATGGTGATGCTGAAAACAAAGAAAAAACATGAGACTGTTAAAAGATGTTCCTTTTAATGACATTTAATAATATTAAAGTTTTTTTTCCCTAAAAAAGTCTATACTTCCTTTGAAATGTTGCTATTTCAAACATGATTTGAAAGGAAAGAATAAGGAAAAGTAGGTAATACAATTTCTTTATCATTTTGGATTGCCACTCTTCCTATATGTGTGCAATGTATAAATAATATCAAAATCTATTCTCTATAGTAGACACATACATGCTAACTTAAAACTTATAGCTATAATTATTTACTATATTTGATTCATAATAACAAACCATAATGAGCTGGATTTTTCAAGGCTCTGATGTAAAGCAAGGTTGATCGTATCCATTCCAAAGCTACATTGACATCTGTGATGGTATGCAGTACTACTTCTGCATTTAAATGCTCAATTAGGTGCTTGTGCAAACTAAGTAAAAAGATAAACTCTCCATTAGCAACACAAGTTACGGAGACAGAACTCCTATTTTTAATGTTAGAAATTACAATGTATTCATTATTGTCACTTCAATGATAATTCATAATAAAAGGCCAGAAATAATTATTAAAAGTGAAGAGTCTGTTCAACTTCAATAATTGGGGGATTCTGCTGTCCTGCATGAACTAGAAGGCATACTGTTGTAAGGGGAAAATCCAGGGCAATAATGAACAAAAACAAAAAAAACTTGGATCTGTACCGGATCTTTTGCTAGTAAGACACAAATACTATATAATTTTTTAAAAATCTTACAGATATGTAGAGAAATGAAGAAAATAAATCTTTTTTTCCTTTTTCTCTTTTAGTGGCTATGTCTATGATATCCTCTGAGGAACAAATTGAAGAGTGGGGAAAAATACTCCTCAATGAAATTATTTGCCTGTACTCACTACCAAACCCCCAGATTTTCCGCTTGGTTGTTCAGTATTCAATTAAATTAAATAGGGAATTGTCAAACTCTCTGAAGAATCACCAAAACCTCTTAAGTCTTTCTGTAGGATAAACTTAGTTAATTATCAAAAACTTGACCAATTTCTTTTGCTGAACAAAGTTACAGTTGAACACATGAGAACAAAGAAAGCAACTTTCAATGTGACTGTCTTCTGAAAGTCTATGTGTCTCTGCCATACCTGCTCTCTATGGTATCGGTGCCAGTTAGCATCTGCACGTACTTCTCCCTCGTACTTAACCTAGTCATGATAACTGCAGTGGCCGTAGTGTCAAACTACAAAAGACCCAGAAATGCAGCAGAAAATCCTCATATTAACCCTCCAGAATAACACAACAGAATTCCAGAAACAATCTGATCTCACTTTCATTTAGTCTGCGTCCTGGCAAACACTTTTATGCACAGTCCATTATATGAAACTCTTATACTTGGTACGAGGGCTGTGAGCTCTCTGTATGAAAGGTGACAATGATTAAAATACACGTGTGTGTAGGGAACCAAATATACCTTGTAAGCTTCAGTGTAGTTGTTCAGTCCAAAGGCTGAGCTTCAAGGAAAAGCAGCAGACAAATGCTGCAATAAATCTCTGTAAAACAAAGTCTTTCCCCACCCCTATAATGCTATAATAATTCCCTGTAAAGCCTGCTTTTATTTCCCACTCTACCATGGGAATCTCTTACTGTTGCCACTATCCCTCAGTTTTAGATAAGGAATGAAGAAAGAGAGAAGCGAAGGTTATTGTATGATTTTTAGGGAACAAGCAGGTAAATTTGGGAGCAACTAGGTTGAAAGCACTTTTTAAAAAAAATTTCCAATCTTGTCCTAATCTCAATTAAATTTACCAAACAATAATATGACAAATACCACATGAACAATATAAAAACCTAATCTAATCTTTTAAATCTTTTATACACCGAAAAATAAGTGGAACTAAATCTTCTTTAAAATCGCATAAATAAAACAGAATCACTTACTTGAGGACGACCAGCCCTACCAATCATTTGCAGAATATCTGTTTCACTGTACTCTTCAAACATTCCTCCAGCATAGTGCATTGTAGATTTTATAACTACTAAATGAGCTGGTAAATTTACTCCCATAGCTAAGGTACTGGTAGTAACTGTATAAAATTAAAGTATGATAATTTCATAATTATATAATTTGCATTTTAGGAAGGCATTTCAAATTTATAAAATTGCACAAATCAAAATTATCTATTAAACTGTTACTTTTGAAGTTTTCATTACAGGATGCTATAACATCTGTTTCACTAAGCTCTCCAAAAGAGATTACATATGCTGTCACTATATCCTTAAAGGGTCAAATATAATGTTGAGAAGAGTAGTTTTGGATGACAGCGTGGAGTTACAGTCACAATTGTCATTCTGGGAGGTGCTTCTCCCTATGGAGTTAAGGAAAGTATGTGTGAATTTAATTTTGATATGTAATATACATGATATGATACATATAAAAATATAAATATAAATAAATGTTTGTGTGTGTGTGTGTGTGTGTGTGTGTGTGTAAGCCACAAAGAAAAAAGAGAAAAAAATAAGAGGAAATTTCTTTCTTGTTAGAACTGTCTTAACTGTTATTTTATGAAGAAATACTATAAAAGAATTTTATGAAGAGTCTGGGAGAAACCTGCATTTCTATACATTCGAGGAAGACTGTTACTTGTGATAGTTACAGAAGACAAAGAAAAAAAAGACTAAAATGACTTGTTTCCTAAGAAACTGAATTTAATTCATCTAGAGAAAAATCATGAAGACTCTTGAGAGATGTTATCTGGTACCTGAAGTAAACTGAATAGTAGAATTGTGTTTGTTTGCATAAGTGAAAACAAGTCATTTGTCATTAAAGTAAGGGTCTGAGGTGATATCATAGTGATTCTTCACAGTTAAAATACTGCAAGTAATTATGTATGTGTTTATTTTATTATTAATTTCATTGTTAGTTAGTTATTTAATCATTTTAATATTTACTTAATTCTAAGAGGTTAAGGGATTAAATACAAAGAGAAGTTTTTCCAGTTTGTTAAATAAATAATATTTGTAAATTGTAGTGAGGGCTCAAACCAACTAATTAATGAGAAATAGGTTGTTTAATAAAAAATAATCCAAACACAGACCTGTACTACCTTAGGGCTCAGCATGATAAGATTAAATACAGGAAAGACTCAAGTGACTGTATTAGGTGTAACCTATAAATGAGGCTGGCCAACATCCTAAACCCTGCTACAATATAATTAACATTCAGACAGTTTGTATTTGTAAACATTTAAATATACGTGAATTGTTGAGGATTCCTTTCCAAAAGTAGAACTAAAAGGAGACTAACTGGACCATTGCTTTCCTTTCTCAAACAAGATCTTCTCAAATATCAGTAATGTTTTACTTACAAAGGACTGGTAAATCTCCAACTGTAAATGCTCCCTCGACAATTTTTCTGTCTGATAGCTCCATACCAGCATGATGGTAACCAATACCACATGTTAAGAGATCTATGAATAAAATATTTGATCTGCTGTTTATTGTAGCATTTCAATGAGAAATTCGTTAATTTTATCCTACATCTGAAAAGTTTCCTCTAAATGAACTCAATAATAAATGAAGATAAAGCATTGAAAATAAAATCTTTAGCCTCAAATGTTTAAACACATAAGTACAAAGTATGGATAACAAGCACAGTGGGTCCTAAGGCAAGGAGATAATTTTAACTCAAAAAGTTACACAGAGACTTGATAGAATAGGACCCCATTATTGGAAAATGACAGTGAAAGGGCAAACCTGGCTCAAATGGAACAGGACGGATAATAAGAGAAACAGAATATGACCGTGAAAATTAAGAAGATATACTCATGTGAGAAAATTCAGAAACCAGAAAGGAGACGCACAGTAGGACACATCTGGATAACTATCAACAGAAACAATATTGTCACTGGAGTACAAAGACAGACTGTACAGAAAGAAAACATAGATGAGGAATTTGAGAAACAGATCATAAGCCTGGTAGTTACAGAAGAATGCAATTATGCAGATATCTGCTGGAGTTCTCTTGCCCTCCAAATAAGAACAACTAATAATCCCTTGTTTTATTTTAATGACAATTTCATAATTTGAAAGGTAAAAGTATCAACAAGGAGAATGTCTATTCCAGATCTGATCCTTAACAACAAAGAAGAATGGATTGCTGAAATAGAAATGATGGAAACCCTGCAGCAAAGTGAATGCTCAAAATTAGAATTTGTAATGTGGGAGGAAAAAAGTTAGGGAAATGACAAGTACCATAGATCTGGGGAAAGAAGCTTTCAAAGTCTTCAGAGGAAGCCTAGGTAGGATCCCATGATTTCACATTCTCTAGTAAAAAAAAAACAGCCCATGAAGGAAAGAAAGTTCTTAAAGATGAAATTTTGAAGATATAAGATATCATTCCCAAAGAGGAAGATAGATGGGAGTTATCTAAAAAGATCAATGGAAATACATAAACAAATCAATGAACAAATTTATAAAAAGACTTACAGAAAATGGAAGCAAGAGTAAGTAGTGGAGGATAAATACAAAAGTACAGCTTAGTCCTATCAGAATATTCTGAGTTTGAGCTCAGAATAAGCAGAACCTGGTAAAAAATGTTAAGAACAACAAAAGGCCATGTTTGGAATCATCCTTAAATTTCAACCTTCCTCCACCCCTCATCTATTTCCCCCCAAATAAAATCAGTTGCCAAATCTTATTGATTCTACTTTCACAACATCTCTCATGTCTGTCATTTTTCTCTACTCACACGGCCATGATAGTAATTCAAACCCTCATCACCTCTTGCAGGTACTAATATAAAAGCATCCTAACTGTCAGTAAGTCAATAAACATTTATTAAATGCCTGTTATGTGTCAGGCAGCATGCTAAATAGCTAGGGATACAAAGAAAGGTAAATGACAGTCCATTCTCTCAAGGAGCTCAGAGTATGATGGGGGAGACAACATGCAAACAACTATGTACAAACAAGATATATACAGGATAAATTGGAGATAATCAATAGAGGGAACACACTAGCACTGAGGGGGATTGGGAAAGGCTTCCTATAAAAGGTAGAATTTTAGCCGGGACTTGAAGGAAGTCAGGGAATACAGGAAGCAGAGATGAAGAGGGTAAGAATTTTAGGAGTAAAGGACAGCAAGTGAAAATGCCCAGCAGGGAGATGGAATGTCTGGTCATCAATGTTTGATGTTGATTTGGAAGGAGGTCTCTAGAGGAATGCCTTAAAGATATGTGCTTGGATCTGAGCTGCTTAAAATTTGTATTAATGATTTAGATACAGGCATAAAAGGCACATGTATCAAATCTGGATATTACACAAAGCTATAACGCATCATGAACACATTAAATAATAGTTACGACCCAAAAAGATACTGAGAGGCTAAAATGTGGAGCCAAGCTAATGAGATGAAACTTGATAGAAATAAATGCAAAGTCTCATCTGCAGGTTCAAAAAATCATCTTCACATGTACAAGATAGGGGAGACACAACCAGACAACAATTTGTCTTAAAGAGTTGAATACAAGTTCAATATGTCACTAACATACTACGATAACCAAAAAAAGGCAAGGAGATCTTTAGCTGCCTTAAAAAAAGGCCTCATATTTATCAGTAGGGTTAAAATAGTACTCTTCTCCTCTTTGCAATGGTCCTCCTACAAAGTTATAAAGAGGCAGATTTAGTGTTGATACAAGAAAAAACTTCCTAAGAATTAGAGCTTTCCAAAAGAGTCATAGAAAGCCTTGGGAGATAGTGGGATCTCCTTCATTAGAGGTTTTCAAGCATAAAACAGATCTATCTGTCCAAGTACAGATGAGGCCAAGGCCCTGCCAACTCTGACAGTGCAATTCTCTGAATCTTAGACTTACCTCTCAGTTTGGAATCTCTTATGGAATGTGTATAGTTTTGCAACCTATGTAAGAAAAGATACCATAAAATCATTAGGATTTCCACTCACAGGATCATCAGAATATTATAAAAACTATTTTTATGAGTTATCTTAGAATCTGACAAACATCTATCAAATTATTTGCCCAAATAATGAATAAAAACTATACTTGAAAAAAGAGAATGATAACATTTCATGTAAAGGCAGCACCACCCAACCCAGAAGGTAAGTGTGTTCCTAGGAGAAGGTTACAATGATGAAAAACTTGCCAACTCAGGCCACAGACTATTTTTAGCATTTAAAAAAAAAGAATACCTTTGTTTCTGTTCCATTGTCATGACAAATTTAGCATTTTTTGAGAGAACTGAAGCTGCTTGCTGCACCCCTTTCCTTGTGGCACAAAACTGCAAATGAATTCATCACAATTTTGACATTAATCATGGTGAAGAACAAAAGTCCATTAAAAAAATAAACAACAGGTGACTTCATACCACAAGTGTCGGTTTCTGATTGGAGTAAGTCTGTATGACACTGGCAACTTTGTAATTGAGAGATAAATCAAACTTAAACTCATTCTGGTTATTACTCCACGGAAATCCAAGCACGACTTTGTGCAGTTTCACTGGCCTGTGATTCTCATCAATTTTCAAGCACTTAGCCGGCCTCTTGCCATCTGAAAGCCATTCGGCAATCTACAAATAACAAATATAAACCAAAAACAAACAAAAATAAAAATAATAGCATAGTAGTCACTGTGTGACCCTAGGCAAGTCACTTGTGTTCTCAGGGCCTCCAAGAAACTCTCTCAGATTGTAATGAAATCATAGGTCTAGTTTAAAAAAGAAGTTTACCAAGTACCTTAAATAACCACCTTTAAGATAGGTACTGTGTGCACAATTCTCCCCATTTTACAGATAAGAAAACATAAGCTTAGAATTTTCATTCTTCTCCAAAAGAACTGATTTTTAAGTTATGCAATGTACATAGTATAGAATAGTTCACTAGTACTGTTTTATGGCTATTAAATTATAAAAAAAATTGTTAAAATCATCACTTACATCTTCCACATTCGGAATTGTTGCAGACACAGCCACAAATCTCACCAGAATAGCAGCACTGGAATTTTCTGGAATTTGAGATAAAGAAGATATGGTTTTCATTCGACTGACCACAACTTCAAGAGTCGGACCACGATTTTCATCTTTCACAACATGTACCTAAACAAGAAAGCAAGGCACAATCAATGATTTCAAAATTTTTTAGCATCACATAGTATCACAGGTTAAATCCACGGAGTTGTTGATAGCTCATCCTTGCGTAAATCTGCACGACTGCCACTTGCAGACGCAAAGGCTGTAGTTGACAATATCTGACTCTTCCCTTCTTGTTAGGGTCCTCCTTTTACCTCTCAGTCTAAAAGTGAAGGACGAATTCTATACCTCGTCAATGAGGAACAGTCGGACCAACTGGACCAAAGAGTTGTCTCTCCATTTCCTAGTCATGCTATCCCATTTTTCCTGGAAAAAAATCATTTGAAATATACAGTAATTACAATAAACGTAACAAATTACAAAGACATCACAGGATTTTGTTTCAAATGTTTCAAAGCTAGCTAATTATAGATCTCTTATCCTAAAAGTATCCTGAAAAGACAAATCATGATTTAAGGAGTTTAAACTAGTCTTGCAAATGGGTTTAAAACAATCTATACCTCCTCACTTTTTTTAGTTTGCCCATAAAATTTTCAGTTTTCCACCTAACAGTACCTTTAATTCTGTCTTGTCAAACTATACCATCTTTCTATGATGTCAAGGCTAGCCCAAACTAAAAAGAACATAGTAGATATATAAACAAACACAAATCTATATAAAGAAAACATAAAAGAGAGGGAAATTTATTAAATCTGTTAGGCTTGTCACAAGAGATTTTGGCTATTTTTTAAAACTTGCAGTTACTGTAGGTAACTTAATGTGGTATTTATTTTTTAGGCTATGCCAAATATTTCTGATCCTAAGTTTGTGTTAATTTAGTGTACCGGTAGATAACAACAAAGTGTTTTTTCTATGATCCATTCTTTATCGAGTAAAGTAAAATCCATCTAATAGACCAAATGATAAATAAATTCTAAAAAATACCTACTGGGGTTGTCATAATAATATGGGCACGCTGAATCTCAAACAAGTCATCCATGGCTGTATCTCCAGTTAGTTCTTTACAAGTCAATCCTATGGGTCCAAATTTTTTTTTCCAGTCATCAAAGCGCTGACTACACAAAGCTTTTATCGGTGCCACTGTGATAGCAATAAAGAATTCTTAATTTTAAGACTTAATGCACTCTTCTTGAGTATGCATAAAATGATGAATAAACTGTGATCAAAAATATACATCTAAGAATGTAAGGCTGCCTAGATTCTAGTTGAAAGCAGAAAAATTGTAATATATTCATTTTTTTTAGGCAATTGGGGTTAAGTGACTTGCCCAGGGTCACACAGCTAGTGTCAAGTGTTTGGTCTTAGTCTGAGACAGGATTTGAACTCAGGCCCTTCTGACTTCAGGGCCGGTGCTCTATCCACTGCACCACCTAGCTGCCCCTATTATATTCATTTTCTATGTTCACTTTGTGTATCCTTTTAAAAACCATAAAGTTCCAGTTCTCAAATTGTCTTAGTTTCTTTTCCAATTTATAGCCCTGAAAAGTCTATATTGAAACTAAAGTCACAATCAACTCATATGCTATTAGAAAAGAATGGAAGGGAACTTGGTTCTTCCATCTCCTGCTTCTGTAAAGATGGAGAACAGTTAATAGTATGCAGAAATCAACATGGTATATTCTTCAATATTTTATGAAGGAAAAACAAAATGGTATTATTACTTGCTGAAGACATAATTTTTATTTCACTTATATTTTACTGCTATTAGCTAATGGTTAGTTTACACAAGAGACAACATACTTACTGTAAACAATTTTAATATTCAACCAGGGTAGTGGAACTTCCATTAATAATCTTGTTATAGCAAGTTCAAATATTACTGTTTTCCCAGAACCAGTTGGAGCACAAACTACGAAATTCCTATCTGAATAAAGAAGCTAGAGACACATTTCAAACATTTCAAAAAATATATTGGGACTTTAAAAATACAGTATCAATTTTTAATGAAAAATAATGTGAGAATACTACAAAAAGTAAATTACAAACCCTTTAAAATATTAAAATTGAGAACTTGCATGAGATGACATATATAACATCATTAGCATTTAATATATATCATTAACAATGTTTTCATCATTTTTTATGAGAAAAAAATATGAAAAAAGAAACAGAAACCATTCCCCTATTCTCAAGTATAATATAAATAAATTTACTGAATATAAATCAATAATCGTTGAATTAAAAATCTCATACTTACATCATCCAAAGCTTTAGATTGTATATAGTTGAAATATGGAAATTCTTTGAAAATGCTTCTAAATTGTGCAGCTTAAGATAATATCAAGGAGTCAATGAATCACAGAATCTTAGAGTGGGAAGGTGCCTAAAACAATACATTCCAGATACAGGGGAGTCACCAAAACACGTCTAAAAAATCCCTGATATGTAGTTAGTAGTGTTGGTTTGAACATCTACCTCACTAAGATTGCCTGTTTCCTGGATAGTTCTAATTGTCATAAAGTTCATTCATGTATTCAAACAAGCATTTATTGAGCAATTACTCCATTCAAGGCATTAGGGGTGCTAGAAATAGAAAGAAGAATGTGACATAGATTGTGCTCTTAAAAAAAGCTTGCAATCTAAGGACACAAAAGAAATATACACAAATAATGAAGACATAAATGATAGGGAAGCAAGTGAAAAGAAAAGGTCCAGGAAAAGTTCTATGAGAAATTTAAAGATAGAAAGATCATTTTCACCTAGAAGGGTAGGAGTAAAGGTTTTCCAAAGGAGAAAAATACTCATGAGAATTATCTACAGAGGCATCAAAAGCATCCTTGATAAAGAGACGAGAAAGAAAAGTTTTTCCCAATTACATGTCGAGACAGTCCTTAAACTATTTAACAGAGGTAACTTTGTTCAATCACCTTCTGATTATTATTATCAAGAAAGACGTAAGCTGCCCAAAGATATTTGCCATTGTTGAAGAAGATGTACAAAAGAGTCTAAATAGAGGAAAGATTGTCTACGGATGTCGAGGACCTCCAGATACTCCTCTTTGGAGATGATCCTCATGCTTATTTCTTCAAGTCCTAGAGTAGTGCAGACACTTCTAAATGAGATCCATAATCATTCAAAGGAGTTTGGCCTAACTATTCAGATTGGAAAAACCAAGAGGGTAAGGAATACAAACAAAAGACTTAGAATACAAACAAAAGACTTAGTCCATCAGTTTATATTTTTTTGGCAATACACTATGCATGGACAATGAGTTTGGCCCAGCACTGAATAAGAGGAGGAAAGAAGGCTGGATTGTCTTTGGGAAATTATGGAGTGCTTTTAAGGACACTTAGTTAATTCCTTAAATAAAGGCTCATCTTTTTAACATCAATATTCTTTCAGTGGTGTTATATGGCTGAGTCACAGAATACCACAACTGACAAAGTATTAACTCCAAAGGACAATGGAGAGGCAAATGGTGAGTATGAATAGGCTGTAACACATGACCAACCGAGGAGTGGCATAAAGAATGTGATCAGAGAAATGCATATCACCAAAAAAAAAAAAGTGAGCTGATCATATAGTAAAACTGATGGATGAACAGCTCAGGTTCTCCAATGCTATGCAACAATGTTAAAATAACCAGAAAAGGGTTCCCAACACATTGGGTGGAATCCCTATAGAGAATTTACAAAACATGGACTAGAATTGTACAAGATAAATACATCACAGATAGACTATGTTCTGCATTGTTGTAATGAATAAGCATTTATTGAATATTATGTGCCAAGTATTATGCTAAGCATTGGGAATACAAATATAAAAGTGAAGACAGTCCCTGCCCTCAAGGACCTTACATTTGAATATGGGGAAATGGGGAAATAGTAAAAATGGGAAATGGTGGCCAAGGAAGAGTGTCTTGGTCAAAGAAATCACAAGAAGAGAAAGTGGAACAACAGTGCAGCTTGTTGACGTACCCTTTTCAGAGGTCAATAGTAGTATTGATTTTATTATAACTCTCAGAGCAAAAATTAGAAAGGTTAAGGGTGCTAGGAGAAAGTACGATGGGATAGAGTGGCTTAATTCCCTCCAGGGATGGTCTCTGGAAAATTAAACAGCAGCAAAAGGGCTTGGCTATAGTTATATGCATATTGTAAAAACACCAACCTATGAACTTGAAAGCAAGGACTGTTTTTTGCTCAGAGTAGCATACATAGTAGGCACATAGTGCACACAGTAGGCACTTAATAAATGTTTATTGACTGACCTGTTTTCTTGCTTGATTTAACTGAAACTTCTCTCTTTTATTTTGGAAATTAGTCTGATAACCTAACCCTGGTACCAATTTGCTAAAGAGATTATAGTAGCTAGTTAATTATACAAGTATATTAGCAATATAGGCAGCCAAAAAAACCTACCTAGGGGCTCTAATTATGCTATTTCATGTATAAAGTTAGCAAATTAACCACATTTCTGCCAAATTTGTTTAAATTGTTGTCGTGCAGACAGTAATAGAGTATTTGTACCAACGTGGAAATTTAATTTTGTGTCTGTCAATACAGCACCTTTTGAAAGAATCTAATTTTTTCCCCTCAAAATGTCTCTTTTCATATGAAATATTTATTTGTAACAAGGTCACAAGTGTGGACATCATGCTGGTTTTTCTCTCGTTAGGCAGTTCCATATCAATTTACATTCAGGAAAACTAATGTTTGCTTCAGACTAGATGAAGAATCAGTCTTCCTAGCTCAACAGAGAACTTGACTGCTAACATCATTTATTATCACTATCATCACTTGACACCACATTTTTGCTTTGGTTCAACAAACTCTCAGCGGTGTCACTGCAATTATATGTTATATCATGGGAAAAAGAAACTTCCACAGAACTGAAAATGACAAGGGTATTGTGGCAGGGCCACTCTGAAAAATCTAGCATTGTGGGGAGCATTCAAATATATTAAAATATTCAAAAAGGTTCTTAAGATGATTTCTGGCTCAAGTACTCTACAAAAATCTCAAATTATATAAAACCTTTTCTATCTTTCCAACTTAAATATACACTTGGAAGTAATAAAGTATAGAAGTCCAGTGGCTTTGACAACAAATGAACTTTCTATTAGGGAATAAATCAGTCTACACAGATATGGGTAACTGTTTTAAATAACAACAGGATTTTAATAAGAGAACTTGTTTCACCAAGGATATATATCACAAAAAATTTGCTTGAAGACCATTCTCTTCAAATTGTAGCCTGTCTTTTTAATGAAAAACTTGAAGAAAAAAATTTTCTTTACTATCATATAGGTAATGAAACAGTCTATTGAAATTAGCTGTTAATCTAAATCCAATCTCCCATTCTAATTTAGATGGCTAGTGAGAAGGGGGATGTACCATTGAATACTTGGTTTTCTACCTTTTGTAAATCTTTTGATAGACTTTAGGCATCAGTTATACATTATGTTTTATTTTATTAGTCAAATAAAAAATGAATGGGGTCACATTTTCAGAAATGGCTGATGTAGGATTTGTTTTGCCAGATCATGCAGCTATGCACTGAAAGCTTTCTTTTTCTGTTTCTTTTTCTTTCTTCCTTCTTTCCTTTCTTTCTTTCTTTCTTTCTTTCTTTCTTTCTTTCTTTCTTTCTT